AGGACTCTCCTGGCGCACCCCTTGTGGCCGGCCAACCTCCCCCCTTTGGTCCTTTATATACTGAGGTAGAGGCACCCTAGAACACACAAGTTGATCCACGTGATCTATTCCTTACCCGTGTGCGGTGCCCCCTGCCACCATATTCCTCGATAATACTGTAGCGGAGTTTAGGCGAAGCCCTGCTGCTGCAGTTCATCAAGATCGTCACCACGCCGTCGTGCTGACGGAACTCTTCCCCGACACTTTGCTGGATCGGAGTCCGGGGATCGTCATCGAGCTGAACGTGTGCTCGGACTCGGAGGTGCCGTAGTTTCGGTGCTTGATCGGTTGGATCATGAAGACGTACGACTACTTCCTCTACGTCGTGTCAGCGCTTCCGCAGTCGGTCTGCGTTGGGTACGTAGATAACACTTTCCCCTCTCATTGCTATGCATCACATGATCTTGCGTGTGCGTAGGAAATTTTTTGAAATTGCTACGAAACCCAACATAACCGTGCACATTGATTCATCTATCTATTCTTCTTTTATCTTCTTCATCATGCAGATCGCAGATTCAAAGATCGACAGCCAAGCGAGCACTCGGCCAAGAAAGAGGCGGCACCCAGGAGAGCGTGCGCCCATGGTGGCAGCCGACGGCGCCCTCGCACAAGTAGGCCACATGTAGATGAAGCAGCAGCGACAGCTACGACCCACACGAGAAGGGCGCTCACACCGGCGGTAATGCCCCGGCCGGCCGGGGACGACACTAATCGTGTCTGCGAGGCTAGGAAGTTGCGCCGCCGGTGGTGGCGCACACCTGGCCATTTTGTGTTATGTCCAAGTTGTATGGTGCTGTTCTTTTTCTGCCCATATGATACGTATGTTTTTTTCTCTCTTGATGCCCAGGCGCCATGGAGACCCACACACGAGGACTCGAACGGGGCGAACACACCCGGCCGTTAGGCCGTCCACACACGCGCTGCCGCAGGGCTGCGTACGGGGAGGCGCACACAGATGGGCTGGCCGCCAGGCCGCTCTCACGCACGCGTCTGCCACCGGCGGGCTACACACCGGAGAGGGGCGGAGATACACGGCCGCGCGGCCGCCAGGCTGCACGCACACATAGAGCCAGTTCTTTTCAGCGATTCTCCCAGAATCGCCCTCCTCCCCAGCTTCTCCCAGAATCATCACTCCATAACTTTTTTACAATCCTATCTAGTTAAGATCTAATTAGTTAGGATTGTAAAAAACATATAAAGTGGCGATTCTGATAGAAGCTGGGGAGGGGGGCGATTCTAGTAGAATCACCCAAAAGAAAGGCTGGCCGCAAGGCCGCTCGCACGCACACACACACGGACACCTATAGATCGATTGTGCTATGTCTTTCTTTCATATTTTCTCACAAGCAATCTCTTCCACCGCATTCACAAGGTGATGGTAAGATCGGTAAGAAAAGGTATATACTTTCTTGTATTTTTCTTGTCCATCGATGAACAGGTGACATGCTGGAGACGAACAGGTCCTGCAATGGAAAGCGATAATATTATGAGCACGACATCGAGCCTTATATGGCCATGTTCGTCGAGATGGGAAATATACCATCTCGCGCCCATTTTTACAGGTCATGTGGAGGGTCTGCCCTTGTGATGAAAGATGAACAGGTCTTACGTGCGGCAACCCCGCCGAGAGAAAAGCCGATGAGATCGAACATGGCATGGGAGCCCATACGGCCATGCCGGTAGATGAAATAGAAACCACGTCCTTAGGGGAGGAGAGCCAGGAGACGCGTCGTCATCGGCGGCGTCGAGAAGCTCCCAGCAGAGACACATACGGGGCGCTCATAGGGAAGCGGTCACACAGAGGCAGCGACAGAGGCCGCGGGCACCCCGGCGACAGACCATGCGCTGCGCCTCGGTGCACTTGTAGGCCACAGACAATGGGCCGGTGTCCGCGATGACGAGGACGTCCGCCGGCGAGGCGTTCTCGCCACACGCTACAATCAACCCAAGCATCCTTCTTTGTTAACGACATGTATAATTAATCTTCTCACTTTTCCTTTCTTTTCATTTCTCGTTTCAGTGAGGAGCGACGATGGAGAGCGCGCCCCAGGGAAGGGAGAGGACCAGGAGGAGATGCGCCCCTGGCGGCAGCATCGGCAAGATCGGGACGTAGATGGCGCGTCCACGGCGGTGGCGAGTACGGACGGCGGTGGCGAGTACTGGCACCGCCGGAGATGACTGCACCGAAACAGCAAACTGCACCGACACCGTCGGAGATCGTCTATACCAAGCCTTTCATTTTCAGGTGTCATGTTCTTGGCTGGAGATGACTCGGGAGCTGCCGGAGCTCGCCAAAGACGCAGCCCAACCGCTAGCCCTAACGCTGTTCTAACATGGCAGTCTACAGGTCCGCGGCGAACAGGTTACGATGCACAGGTCACAACGAACAAGTCACCGGTGCACAGGTCCATGGCGTTCCGATCGCGGTGCACAGGTTTGGTTTCTTGCTTCCCGGATGTGACGGCGGGGCGGAGCCGGAGCTCGGTGATGACGCGGCCCGGGACTCGCTTCCCCCTTCACGGCGTACAGATCTTTGGTCGAACCAAAGTTTGCAGCGACATAATACAAGACCGGTCCCTCCTTCGAGAGGTGCACCTACCGTGGCGAACAGGTCCATGGCGTTCCGATCGCGGTGCATAGATTTGGTGTCTTGCTTCCCGGATGTGACGGCGGGGCGGAGCCGGAGCTTGGTGATGACGCGGCCCCGGACTCGCTTCCCCCTTCACGGCGTACAGATCTTTGGTCGAACCAAAGTTTGCAGCGACACAGTACAAGACCGGTCACTCCTTCGAGAGGTGCACCTACCGTGGAGAACAGGTCCTTGGCGTACAGGTCCACGGCGTTACCAGCGTACAGGTCACCCTTTGGCCTAGCACCAGCCCAAGGCAACGTGGCCTCTACAACACTACCTTTGTCTTGGCGGACCGCCTAATACTTGGCGTCTAGCAAAGACGAGGCGCCAACCACCCCAGCCACGCCATTGTGAGCGTGCGTCAGTTTTTACACTGACGCCGGTCTCCCCAAACCATTACTCCCGCAAGGTGTACCCCCTTGCACAGCCCGATGAAGTAACCGGCCGTCGAGAAGTCTAAGCCAAGTGCGACCCATGCCACGCCGACAACAAATATTCCAACGCTGCCAAGACCGACGAGGCACGACGGTCTGAGGTCTACATCGACGAGCTCGCATTTTCGTCATCTTCAAGCAACGCCGCCACCCGGTGACACTCGAATCTACTCCGACTTCTACATCAACACACTTCCCCAACCCCGTCCAAGCTCCGACGAGGCGAAGCCACTTCACCGGCATGTCTCCTTCCGATGAAGCTATCCATATCTTGCCGGGCACCGACGAGGCGAAGGCAAGACACACCGTGTCTAACACCGACGAGGCGGACACCACCAGGCTGGGCACCGACGAGGCGAAGGCCGACCATCTGTCTGAGCTGACGAGGCCAGACATCTTCATCATCGGACATCGACAAGCCGGAGGGATGTGACTAAGCATTGCTGGAGCGACGGATGTACCGCTTCACTCTTCTATTCCACCACATCATCACCATCATCTACACCGAGCACATGGAGAAGACGAGACTTGAAGACGAAGACCATTGCAGCAGCTTAATCGGAGGTGCTCCGCGACTTTGACTCGCGGATGTAATTAATCGGGAGCCTTCCGAGGCCCCGTGAACCAGAACCTCACATCGCCCAAGTCATATCGGCCGCGCTAGCAGGCCATGGAGTGCTTATGTAATGGAAGCTTGTAATTTTGTTTCTCAAATGAGAGATTAATAAAGTGCAAGTTTACCTATCTTTTATTTGTGTACTTAGTACACTGGCACGCCCGCATATTTATTTCCCCCGGCGCGTAGAGAGATAATAACACAATAACCATCCTTGTTTGTTATTACTTTTTGTGTCAAACACCTACTTTATTTTTTCATAACTAAACAGACAGGGAATAGTCATGGGATTTGAGACTTTGATCAACTCCCACCTTTAGCTACACATGCTCCTAGGGCGTGTTTGGTTGTCATATGCGAATTTGCCTGCATTGCATGCTTGGCCTGGTTGAGCCTGACTGAGCAAAAACAGGCAAAAAACCAACATCTGAACATTGTTTGGCAGCCCACATCTAGGCTTCCTGCATTAGGGGATCAATTTTGACATGCTGTTTGGTGTCCTGCTCTGGCTCGGCACATGCAACTACACGATGTTTGGTTGTGTGTACGGGATATGATTAAGAGTTAATAGCTACATATAACACATAGAGTTACACAATGCCATGACGACTGCGGTGGACGGTGGTGGCGACGACATAAGCAACTAGTTCGTCACGCCGCCATCGAACGCGGCGCCGCTGCCAACGTCCACTGCGTCTGATGACGGCGCGGCAAACTAGTTGCTTGCGTCGTCTCCACAGAGAAAGTCCGCACGAAGGGACGAACAGAAAGGCGCCGAGGCAGATGACAGAGAAGAAAAATTGCAGTGTGCGCCCCATGGCAGCGTGAGTGTAGTAGGACGAGGAAGAGGAGGCCGAAAGCAACGACGTCAGGGACGGCATCCGTGTAGTAGGGCACCGCGAGGAGGCCGAAAGGAACAACGTCGTGGACAACACCAGTGTATACTAGCTCACATCGCATTGGCATACTCTCGTGCAAGGGGGCTATCATGGGCGCTTGATGTGGGTCTTTGGCAGTTCCTAGCAGACTTGACTAGAAGCTACTTTAAACATCATGCGATGCGGGTCAAACTGTGGACACAGAACAGCTTATGTATTTTGTTCCCACGCAAGTCTGGTTGGGCAGGGCAACCAAACACCCCCTAGCACATCTATTAAAGCGGGACGTGGTCACGTGGCTAGAATAGTGAGTAGCCGGAGGTGGTGGATCCATGAGCGAGCGGGCCTAGCCAAAAGTTAGACTACTCGAGTGGCTGGAATTATGGTGGTCGTCTCGCCTGCAACCTCACGTCTCGGCATCATCCTCGCCGGCTGCTTGTTCTCTTTCCTCCTGTCCCACGATCATGTCGTCATTGCCCACGCGGCAACCGCCTCACCGGCGCCGCCGCTTTCCTTCAGCTTCGACTTCGCAAACACCTCCGACTACAGTTTACAAGACCTCCGGTTCGAGGGCGACGCCGCCCTGAACGGCGACCTGGTCGACCTCACCTGCAACTCCGTAGAGTCCAAGGAGAACTATTACTGCAAGGGCCGGATGTCGTACAACCACCCGATTCCCTTGTACGACAAGAGCACCGGCGAAGTGGCCAGCTTCGCCACAACCTTCATCTTCGCCATCCACTTGATACCCAACAGGACCAAGAAGGGGGACGGCCTGACCTTCTTCCTCTCCACCTACCCGTCAAGATTACCGCCGGAGTCGTCCAGCAATCTCCTTGGCCTCATCAGCAGTAGCGACACTAGCGCCGTCGGCGAAGACCGGTTCGTCGCCGTTGAGTTCGACACTTACAGCAACCCATGGGATCCCACGGGAGCCTCCGATCACATCGGCATCGACCTCAGCTCCGTCACCTCGGTGAGCACCACCAGGTTGCCCAGCTACAGCCTCAATGGCACCATGACGGCGACCATCACTTTTGTCAACACCACCCGGACGCTGGAGGCCATCCTGCACTTTGATTATTCCAATCATTCTCTTGCCGCCGCTCGGGTGAAGACGCAGTTGCCTGATCCTCTCGATGCCTTGCTCCCGCCGGTGGTGGCGGTTGGGTTCTCTGCGGCCACCGGTGGAAACACTGAGCTGCATCAGATACACTCTTGGTCATTCAACTCAACTATGGCACCGAGAGCCAGAGGTACGTACGGATTTTCCGAATTTCCAGAAATACTGCTAGTTACTACTAGTAAAACAAAAGCAGCTAGCATATCATAGACGAATGTCATGTTTCAGTATATACACATGTATACATGGAATTTCGGGTACTTATCACCTACAGAAACACATACAGAAACACCTACGGAAACACCTACATGGGCTAACAATGTCCAACCAGAGCAAGGCCAAGTGCACGCTACCAAAGGTAGGGAACCAGCTTCAACATATATTGATCCTATATTTCTCGTGTCTTTTTCTGAAAGTGCCCTGTATCGGCGATGTCATCGCAGCTTGCAGACGAGATATCCAGGCTTAATTTTGCATTGCTTTCCTTCAACAGGTCGTGACAATTCGTTGATCATCGGAGGAGCCGTCGTTGTTGCGTTGGCCCTGGTGGTGATAATTTGGTCAATCCTATCATGGTGTAGGTGGACACGCACGCGCGATTCCTTTGGGACCGGAACTCGTCTTAAACGATTCGAGTACCGCGAAGTGTCCACCGCCACCGACGGATTCTCCGACAAGAAGAAGATCGGAGCCGGTGGCTTCGGCGTGGTATACAGTGGGAGCCTCAAGGCCGACCAACCGGTGGCCGTGAAGAAGATCCTCAAGGACTCGAGGGGAGAATTCAAGGACTTCCTCGCAGAGCTGGACGCCGTCGGCCGAACGGGCCACGGTAACGTGGTCAGGCTCGAAGGCTGGTGCTGCAGCATAAACAATTTCATGTTTTGGTGCTTGCACAGACAGAACGTCAAGCTCTTCCTCGTCTATGAACTTGTGCCTAATGGCAACCTCCACGAGCACCTGCACGAAAGGCCTGAAGTACTGTCATGGGCAAGGAGGTATGGCCGGCCCGGAGACATACTTAGTATTCTCTCTGTTTCAAAATACTTATCGTAGTTTTAGTTCAACTTTCGTTTCATTTTTTTTCCTTCAGTTGTAGTAACATGCATGGGTCCATGGTATGATTGCATGTCTATATCAATATCAGGGTTCGAGTGCATGCATGGTTGCTGTTGTCGCTCCTATATATCTTCTGTTTTTGTCTTTCAAAAAAAGAAAACTCTTTGATAAAATCGTATGTCGTGGAACCCAACAAAATGATATGTGCTGTGTGTGGAAAAATATTGCAGGTACAAAATAGTGAAGGGCATAGGGTCCGCTCTTCATTACCTCCACCACCTATGCAAGCCATGCATCTTGCACAGAGATATCAAACCAAGCAACATACTCCTGGACCATGATTTCAATGCCAAGCTTGGCGACTTTGGGCTGTCGAGGGTCGCCCAATACGACGACGACACATCACTGATTACGGCAGTGGCCGTTGGGACCGTGGACTACATGGATCCACTGTGCAAGAAACATGGACAGGTCAAGCTGCGCCCTAGCTCCGACGTCTACAGCTTTGGGATCGTCCTGCTAGAGATATTGCATGGAGAAAATAACCCGGACCTTCTCCGGAAGCTCCATAGAGATCAGCCAGAAACATTTGTGAGTGATGCTGCCGACAAGAAGCTGGATGGCCAGTTTGACAAGATAGAGATGGAGCGCGTGATTGTCCTCGCCCTCCAGTGTTGTGACCTAGATGAGAGCCAACGGCCTTCAATGGCTGCTGCAATGCTATTCCTGGAGAACGGCGGAGAGTTGCCCCCTGCTACACCCGATCGATCAAAGCCACCATAGCTAGTACTGCTCCTGCCTAGCTAGCTAGGGAGCTCTCCTCGACAACTTTGATTTTAGTAGTCGATCGTCTCGTCACTTTGAGTATCATTTCGGCCCCTGGAGGGTCTGTAATGTGCAAGTACACTTTGGTGTCTTCTTTTCTCACAAAAACTATGGTTGTGATTTGGAACTTAATCTGTGTTGTTGTGTTTCCACCCTGGAGTTCATTGTGATGTTTCTATCAACAACTAGCAATGCAGCCCATGAAAATGAGCGGATAACGTCTTAATCGTCTATTTTTCTGTTGAGAATTTTGTTCATGTGCGTGGGACAAAATTTGCACTCCTAAGATTTCAGGTGGGTTAGGAGGTGAAAAACATGGATGCACAAAACTTTTGCCTCGTGCGGAAATTCGCTTACAAGTTCCTGCATCCACCAAGCTTAATTGCCTTGGAAAGACCTGATCTTGCATCACTTACCTCTACATATCCATCTAGGGAAGAATAATTGTCAGTGACTTTCTTTTGGCTTGTCTGGCTAAAACCTGAATCGCTTGCTGTAGTCTTTCCCGCACTCTTGTTCAGCCACACCCAACCAAATGCCATGGTGGCAACAATCATGCAGGATGGGCTCAAACTTGGTCTTCGTAATCGTCTAACCTCAATTGATGCACATGAACTAGTCTCCTTGAGTTTTTTGCCGCAGGAATGTGTGCTCTCCACTGCCACAGCCCACAGACCAACTGAGACTACTGAACGGTGACACCTCTACTAGAGGAGACTACTATGCAGTATGCACTATCCACACAGCTAGCAGACCCACAACTCGGCATCATTTGGGAATCAAGTGTGTCAAACAAAGTGGAGTAAATTTTTTGGCTGGCTCTTCTCCCTCGACAGACTAAACACCACAGTAAACTTGCACCGCAAGGACATTTTGCCAACTGCAGCGTGCCCACCTTGTTCCAGCTGCCTCGAAGATCGACAACACCTGTTCTTTACTTGCCCGACCGCTCGACACATCTGGCGTGCCATCTCCATCCGGCCCAAGTTCAACCCAATGAGCGGCCTCTGGAATTCATGCATGCCCTTGGACATGCCATCTACCATCAATAACAACCTCGTTCTGCTTATTATCTTATCATCATGCTTTGGAAGATCAACAACCTCTGGAATTCATGGATGCCCTTGGACAAGCGTTGCAAAATTTGAAATTTATTCAGGTGAGGAGCCTCCCCCCTACGCCCCACACCATCTACCAAAGTGAAAGAAGTTATGTAGAAAGGGAGGACACACTTGGGCTTACTGAATCTGAATTCTGAAGGTGTGCATATAGCCAAATTTACCACAGAACAAGTTAACCCAAACTGAAACATAAATAGGATCAAATTCTTCGAATATCCATTACCGAGCCCAGGCTCATCTACACTGGTCAAGAAAAAATTCACAAAAAATACAAAAAAGTAAAAAAAAAATCCTTTTTTAAATGATAGATAATTTGATGCGCTCTAAATTTTAGATCGTTTGGACATATAAGTAGCTCACAGCAAAAAAGACAAATTGGGTCAGAACAATACATGAACAATAAACTTTTTTATAGACCCCAAATTTGTCTTTTTTGTCGAGAGCTATTCAGATGTCCAAATGGTCTCAAAATTAGAGCGGACCTCACGCACCAAATTATCTATCATGCAAAAAAAGGAATTGTTTGATTTTTTAAATATTTGTTTTGAATTTTTTTTCCATCAAGTGTGCACATGAGCCTGGGCACCGAATCATTGCTCTCCAATATCTTTATTTTCACGAGATTTATTGCCTTACAGTAGCAAAGTTACCTTGCTTATATCTTCAACTAATCGATGCATGCAATATTCATTTTCCATGTGTACAAAGTAAAGTAACCTTTGGTCATATCTTTAACGAATTGACAACTCTCTCTCCACGACTGAAATGTTCATAGTGCGCGACTAGGAGGTCCTTGGGCTTCATGTTCATGTATCGTGTTGGTTGGTTCTCAGTCAACATCTCCGCTATCGGTCCAAACTCCTTTTCAGGATCCAGACCATAGAACAAGGCCACTGAGATCCTATCTTTCTCAGAATTAGTCACAACCCTATGTATTGGTCCTTTGAAGACCCCATTGGTCATTATCTGCGTAAAAAAAAAATAACCTGAGTGTATCAGTATCGATGTAAATATGTGACAAATTTACTAGCGGTTTAGCGATGGCTACCTCCATTGTAACACCAACATTGATCAGCAAGGTGTGGTTAGACATAGGTGGAACGTTGTACCATGTTTCATCTCTAAGTGTTGAAATATAAGATGGGCCTAGAGCCCATATAACAATTTCAGATTTGATCTCTAAGGGCCCATGTAGGTGGCATGACAAGGTGGTGGGAAGTTTAGTCCCACCCCGAAAGTGGAAAGAGAGTTGGAGTAGTTTACAAAGGATTTTCTTCCTCATGCTATTGGAGCTTGAGAAGAGATGAGGCCCTCGCGCACTCCTCCTCCTCCTCCGCTCGCCGCGCCGTGCCGCGGGTTGCGGGATTGAGCCGAGCTCACTCCTATGCGCTTCTTTTTACCGGTCAGGAACGGAGAGTCTTTGACAGGTGGGGCCATGATCTGAGACGTCGGATCATGGGATACCGACTTGGACGTGGGTTCAGCCCACGTCTCTCCACGCGCAGCCGCACATATATATGTGGGGCGCTGCCAACCCTAGCCGCCAAAAAACAGAACGCATCTCCGCCTCCATGCCCGCGTCGTTCCTCTGCTGCTGCTGCCGCCGGCGACTCCGTCCTGTACACTGCGTACACGGTTGACGGGAGAGCAGGCCTCCGAAACCCCGCCTCTCTGGATCCTGTACGGGAGAGGGGCGATTAGATTTTTGGGTAGCGACTACGCGACTGCTCGCTTCTGTTCATCTACGTCCACATCACCTTCGTCATCACCATGTCGACCGACGCCGACCGTGCCGCCGCTGAGAAGGCCGAGGCCGACAAGAAGGCCGCCGAGGATGCCGCGGCTACTGCCGCCGCCACCGCCGCCGCATGGCCGATTGGAGGGTATACATAGTTTATCCCTCTCATGTTTCTTTTTGTTGTAGCAGTACTAGCGATATACGTAGATGTTTCTACTATATGCGTAGTACATGCTCTGTTAGATCGTAACCAGTGTGTTATCAATACTGTCAATGTCATGCTCATGATTTATTCATGGATTAATTTAATCGGAAAACTGCCTATTTTCTTATCAATCCAAAAACCTAATTTATGTAGGAGTTTTTCGGATTCTGGTTTTGCTGCTGCACTAAAACCGTCGCCGTTTACGGGGACATACTTTAAGCGTTGGCAGACTAAAACCACCTTATGGCTCACTGCCATGAACGTGTTCTGGGTCGCCGGTGTGACTCCCACAGGAACGATCGCTCCTGATCAGGAGGAGGCGTTCAAGGAGGCCACTGTCGTGTTCCTCGGGGCAGTTCTGAGCATGATTGGAGATAAGCTGGTTGACGCATATTTGCATGTGCGGTCTGCCAAGGACTTGTGGGAGGCGCTTGAATCTAAGTTCGGGGCTGCCGATGCAGGGAGCGAGATGTATATTATAGAGCAGTTCCGTGATTACAAGATGGTTGAAAACCGTCCTGTATTGAAGCAGGCTCATGAGATAATATGCATTGTTAAAGATCTTGAGCTTCTTAAGTGCGAGTTACCGGGCAAGCTTGTCGCGAGATGCATAATGGCTAAGCTTCCCAATTCCTGGAGGAACTTTGCCACCACTCTGAAACATCAGAGGCGTGAATTCTCTGTGGATGATGTCATTGGCCATCTGAGTGTTGAGCAGAATTCAAGGGCAAAGGACTCGCACGGAAAAGGGGTCGAAGGAACTTCTGTGGCCAACATGGTGCATCAGAAGAACTCCAATTACCACAAGCCCAAGGAATTTATTTGCTGTATTTTCAGTTTGGCCGTACACCGATTGGTGGGTCAACACAGGTGCAGGTGTTCATGTGTGTGCTGACATTTCATTGTTTTCTTCTTACCAGGCCACAGGTCACGGGTCCGTACTGATGGGGAATGGCGCGAGTGCTTCTGTTCTTGGTGTTGGCACGGTCGATCTGAAGTTTACTTCAGGAAGGATCGTGCAGCTGAAGAACGTGCAGCATGTCCCCACCATCAAGAAGAACCTTGTTAGTGGCTCCCTTCTATGTAGAGAAGGGTTTAAGTTGGTATTCGAGTCTAATAAATTAGTTGTTACGAAATATGGACTATTTGTTGGAAAGGGTTATGAATGCGGAGGCATGTTCCGCCTTTCTCTTGCAGATCTATGTAATAAAGTCGTGAACAATATTCATTTGAGTGTTAATGAATCTGAAGTATGTCATTCACGTCTTTGTCACATTAGTTTTGGTGTTATGACGCGGCCAGCAAAATCGAATTTAATCCCGAGTTTCACTTTAGCCAAATGTTCTAAGTGCCATTCGTGTGTGCAATCTAAGCAACCTCGCAAGCCTCACAAGGCAGCAGAGGAGAGACACTTGGCGCCACTGGAACTCATACATTCTGATCTTTGTGAGATGAATGGTGTGTTGACTAAAGGTGGAAAGAAATATTTCATGACTTCGATAGATGATTCCACTAGATATTGCTATGTGTATCTGTTAAATACTAAAGATGAGGCTCTACACTACTTCAAAATCTATAAGGCAGAAGTTGAGAATCAACTTGAAAAGAAAACTAAACGAGTCCGGTCAGATCGTGGTGGAGAGTACTTCTCGAAAGGGTTTGATGCCTTTTGTGCGGAACACAGCATTATTCACGAGAGGACGCCTCCTTACTTACCCCAGTCAAACGGGGTTGCCGAGCGGAAAAACCATACTCTAACTGATTTGGTTAACGCCATGTTAGATACGTCGGGTTTATCCAAGACATGGTGGGGGGAGGCTATAATGACATCCTGTCATGTCCTGAATAAAGTTCCGACAAAGGATAACAAGATCACTCCTTACGAGAAGTGGAC